TTGCAGACATCATTTCAACAGTTCTTTTACCTGTTTACTGATTATCTTGATGTCGATTGCTTTATTCGCATAGAAGGAGAATGAATTTTTCCAACATAAATACGATTTGTTGCGTATTGGAGAAATGTTGAATGAAATAAATTGTAACCTTACTTATGTTAGGATATTTGATTTAAAATTGAAACTTTAAATTTTAAATAATGCTTCCTAAGATAATTTAGGGCAAAATTTCTCGAATTTTATGAGAAATTTTATCAGTTTCATGAGATTTTTGTCACTTCAAATAACGAGCATTGATTTCTCATCTATGAAATTAAAATCTCTTCCGATGGTTCCTAATAACTTACTTTCTCAGGTTGGATCATCAGTTCGGAATAGAGTCATAATATATCACTTTTGATTCGATCTATTGATCAAGTTGTTAATAATTTCTGAATTTTTCAAATTTTAGCCAATATATGGCAATGTCTTCATTGTATATTTGAATATTCTCTTCATCGACCAATCTAAGCTGAATAATATGATATATTCCCAATTATCTTCCTATATCAGTCCAGAGATCAATTTGTTAAAACGTTGATACAGAAGATTCAATCACCATTTAGAAAAGTAGTAAAAGTATGACTTGGACATAAAGTATGATTTAAATTAAGATTTACAATAAATTTAGAGATTTGAAGTAAAACTCGATAGAGATTTAGAATTCATATACTTATCCGAACTGAGATTAATTCATGGTATTCATAGGAATTAGTACAAAATTTGAATTTATATGATAATAAAGTAAATATTCAATTTACATATTACCCTCTTTCTTTAAAATAATTGTTGACGATAAAACTCATTGGATTGAAAAAAAATTTTTTTTGAGAATTTAATTTTTTATGTATTAGAGAGGAATTTTTTTTTCCATGATAAAAGGATTATTTTATGGTGGATGAAGGAAGGCATATTATGTATTTTTTCAAATTTTTGATTACAATAACAACAATGAGAGATCTGTGATAGTTGTTATTATTGTTTGGTTGGTTTCGATGTCATTTTGTTTCGATGACAATTTCATTTTTTCCTTCATCCCAATGCACATAGCGTTCATCTTTTTTTTTGAACAACCAGAGTAGGTTCACATTCTTACATTTGTGTCAAGTAGATAGAGTGGAATGGGATGAATCGACAAAGTGACAGTAAGAAATAATTGTTATAGGCCTGTCTTTCTTTTTTCATATTATCTCAATAAGCTCCTCCTTTTAATATTTCATTCTTTCCATGATTATGCAAATTATTTCAAGGAAAATTAACACAAATTGGTTAACACATCCTTTAACTATCACTGTTAATATTATTTGTCTAGTAAAATAATTAATGATATCAAGAGATTGCAAAGGATTCAAAGAACTGGTTGTGACTTATCTTTTCCTAAATTTAAAATAACGAAAGTTTGAGCTCTCTTCATAAAATAAAGAGGAAGTTAATTTTGTCACCTCATTCAATGCTGTGTCATTCATTTATCTTATAAAGTGTCTTGATGACAAATAGAATAGCCTTTCTCTTACATTTTTAGCATTTCCAGTATACTTTTAGCAAACATAGAAATTCAATAATCTCAATTCACACTCAACAAAATATTTTCAGTCAAATGAATGTCATTTTATTGGGATTGATATGAAACGAGCATATATTAAGGAAGGTGCTGTACAGTTGACAGCTTTGGATTCACTCATCACATCTTCTCGATATTTCTTCCTCTTCTCGGATCTTCTTCTTGTCGCCAAGCAAAAGTATGTTCCATTTCAATTACAATTCAATAATTACTACAAAAATCGACTTATTTATAAGTTAAGCAATTACTTAGGGCAAATAATCGGATAAATTAATAACCGTTGAATGGCATCATTTGGCACAGAAATGTTGAAATTATTTTATCACTGCATATATATGTACATGTAATAATGAATTGATATTAATTAGATTACATCTTAGGAAAGTGAATTGAATGAGAATATTTATTTTAGAAATTTCCAACTCAAGGAATATTAATCCTGTATACTTGATTTGTTTTACTGTCGTTTTCTTCCCTGAATTCATTACTAAAGTTTTCATTTCGAGGATAAGAGAATGAGAAAAATATGCTTGTGACCAAAAAAAAAAATCAAAAAAAGAGCAGAGAACAAATGAAGAAAGCGATTTTTTGATTTTTGCAAAGATGAAAAAAATTTTTTTGGGGAGAAAAAATGATTTTTCAAAACTTTTTCTAAAATTTCAATCCAATTTTCTCTTTCCCCTCCCCTTCGAAAAAACGAAAAAATTTAATTTCTTTAAAATAAATCATATCATTTCTGGATAACAATGAATTGAAAACACAGTACATATTACGGTGGGATTCCTTTTATAAATTCGGCGAATAGTTGAATTTCATTTGGATCACTTCTTCCTTTCTTTTTTAACAATAAAACGTCACTTCCTTATGATATTTTCTGAATTGATTAATTTGAAAAATTCTTTTTTTTTCCCTCTCTTTTTATGAAAAAGATTACATGTATTATATGTTTGAATGAAATGAACTCAATAAAAGACTGAACTGACTGTAATAAACTTAATTAGCTAAATGATAGTGCAATATGGAATTGATAAGTATTGATAGAAGGGAGCATGAAAGTTTCGTATACGGTGATAAACATCAGGAAAAAATTTAACACTCGATTTCTCGAATTCAATGTACCATGTTGACAGCATGTCACAGTCATTTCTAATGATCGCTTTTTTTTCTTCTTTTAGTAAATTCGAAAATCGAGTGTCAAATTACAAATTTTTTTTCTTGCCAAATTACAACTATCAACTGATTCGTTAATTTTGCGCACAACTTGATGTTGTTAAGATGGTTGTATTTTTCAGTTAAAATTTCTTTTCATCTCTCGCTTTAGAATTAATAAATAATAATGTTCAAAGAAGAAATTTTTTGCTGAAAGAAATTGAAATTAAATTTTAATTTCAATATTTGCTTGATAAGCGTATTTGTGGCTTTATTTTAGCTGAGCATGATAATCTGTTGATAATCAATGGCTGGTATATATTATATATATATATATATATATATATATATATATATATATATATATATATATATAATAATAATATATATATATAGTA